CCTCATCCTCGATTTGGTCTCAAACTTACCTTTTAAATCTACCCGAGGCATCGGCCCCGCTCCAAAGAACGCTCCCCAGAACGGAGTCTGCTCCGAGTCTATTCGGAGCGATGGGCGGCAGCGACGGCGACGCGCTCGACAACGACGCCATCATCGTGATCGACGCGTGCTGCTGCTCGTACGAAGGCTGCCTCTGCTCGGACGAGTGCGCCAGGGAAGAAGCGCGATGACCATGGCCAAGATGTCGCGGGATCATGTCATGTCGACGTCGACCGTGGTCATGGTCCATGCCGGCCGTCGCCGAATCGCGGGGATGATCAACGAGTTGACGATGACCAAGATGGGCGACGAGCAACATCGGCACCGACGTTTCCGCGCTCAGGCTTGGACATGGTCCTCGTTTTCTGTCCCTCCAGGTGCATCGGGTGCATGGCGAGCGAGACCCTGTGCTGCCTCGAGATGGAGTTCTGCTGCAAGTCGGGCACGGAAAGCCTCTGCTGCATCTGCTGTGCTATACGCTGCGTCTCGCCAACCGTGTGCATCAAGTCGCAGGGCCAGGTGTGCTGCCTGGCCGGGGCCGCCGCCATCCCGTGCGACGAGGAGGCGCCTGATCTTCCCAATCGCTCCTCCGTTTCCCCCTCATCTCCTGAAGAAGATACAGATCAAGCAGTGGCGAAGCGTCCTGGCGTGCCTGTTGGCCTACCCAACAATGTTCTAAGAACTTTTTGTGCTTTCCAAGAAATGTTGTTCGAACATTTCCGGTTGGGATTGTCCTGTTTTAACACATCGGGTTTATGTTCTAAGAACATTGTTCTGTTCTTAGAACATTTTTCGGTTCTAAGAACATTTCGTGGTAGGCCTGTAGGAATGCCGGGGCGGTCGGTCCCTGCTCAAACATACGTTGAGACATCTTGCCGTAACACACCTCGGGGTACATTGCCAGGTCAGCCCTGGACGCCGCAGGATACCCGCAGAATTCCAATAGGTATTTGGGGACTTCGGGGAGCAAGAAATCTCAGTGGGGCACCTTCTGGCTGATCAATGTCTTAGTTCGTATGCCTAGGGTAATTCTCCAGGGTGCTAATGCTGCTGCCAGAGTGTAGCCCTAACCAACGAGTTAACGTTTGCGGCACAGCCCGCGTCGTGTCAGCCATGCTGTGCAGGCTGGGCAGTGTAAGCGATGCGGCATTGCGGTGTCAGCTGTGTGGTTTAAGCTAAGCGGTGTAACTTAGGCGGCGCAGTACATGTGGTGTGAGCTGTGAGATGCGACCTGTGTGGCGTAAGCTATGCGATGCAAGGCAGGTGATGCGAGTTAGGTGGTGCAGGCTCTGTGGTGCAAGCTCTGCGTTGCGAGCTGTCTGGCCCACCACGGGTCGCCCGCGACGCGCCCACGACCGACTCGAAGGCGACGGCTCTTCTCTCTAGGCCTCAGGGCCTCGTCGACGCCCCGCCTTCCGGAGGGGCCTTCTCGGAAGCCTCGGGGGGGGGGTTCTCCTCCGAAGGCGGCGGAGGCTTCAGGGCCTCTTCGACGCCCCGCCGTCCTGAGGGGCCTCCTCGGAAGCCTCGGGGGGGTTCTCTTCGGAGGCGGGGGGGCTTCTCCGGAGGCTCCCCGTTAGGATGTCACTCCCTTCATATTGGATTCAGGATCGGCACTGGCATATATCCAGCATAGTCTCACTTTGTCTGGGCTCAATCTGGCCTCGCCCAGCTCATTGGCCCTCTACTCGGGCTTCGCGGCAGAGCCCATTTTGTCAACAGTTCCCGCTGCCTCCTTGGAAGGCCGCCCTGTTCGCTTTTTTCCTCTCGGCCACGCCACGGGAAGGTACCCTGCATGGTCGGCATGTTCGGCATCGTCTGCTACCCGTCGTTCAGCGTCTGCAAGACGCTGGGCGAGATCAAGGGGGGGGGCGTCGAGGCTCAGCCACGCGCAGAGGGGGTTGGGTTGGGGGGAGGGGGGGGAGGGCTTCTTAGAATCACCCCTGCCTCTTAGGAGGCGCGGGCCCAATCTGTAGATGTAAGGCTGGCGCCTTCTAAGAAACGGCCTCCTTCTAAGATCGGGGACGCGTAAGACTCGAGTAAGCCGGAACTCGGGTTTGCCGACGTTTTTTGACGAGCGCGTCTTGTGGATTTTGACGGTCCAGTTTTCGTGGGATGTCTACAGCGGGAGCTCGCGTCAAATTTCAGATTGGGTCTCGTCATTTTTTTGATGGCCCCGTCAGGCCAACGCGAGTCCCCCGTACCCGAGTCTTACGTCTCCCCGATAAGAAGCCCTCCCCCCTCCCTCCACCCTCCTGTGCGCACCGCCGAGAGGCCGAGGGCGAGGGCGGCGACAACTCGGCCACCGACTAGCCGGCGCCTGCCAGGCGAAGGCGACCACGGGCCCCCATACCCCCTTCGCCGTCGCGGAAAAAGTCTGCACGGCCAAGCGCGGCCTCTGGTGACGAGCGAACAACTCACACCCATACCCATAGGAGGGTCGAGAGGAGGGGAACTGGCTATGGGTATGGGTGCGAGTTGTCGGACCCTTGGGGAAGCTCCCGTTCGAGCGGGGACCCCCATCCGACAACACGCACCCATAGCCTCCTCCGTCCCCCCTATGGGTATCGTCATCTGGGGGCAAGTTCGGGCGCGGGAGCCGTTCGAGAACTAAGGGGTCGGCCGCACCGTGTTTTTTGGGCGATTTCGGGGGCCGCTTCCCTGCCGATCCCGGTCTGCGGCAACGGCGGAGGGAAGACAAGCCGAGGGAGAACAAAAACAGACTGAACACGACAAACAATTGTTCAGGGCGATGCCTGCAAAGAGTGCCCTGCGGTGGCCAGAACCATCAACGTATACCCGCGGCGAACAAGCCGGGTCCAGAGCTCTGGGGGCCCGCCCACATCGTGAGCAGGTCCTGGCATCGGAGTTCCCAGTCTTGTTTCATAACGCTATTGGCTCCTGGAGCTGACCAGCCCATCCCCGCGGGAGCAGATTTCCGCCGAGGGTCGTTTTTAAAAGGTCCCAGCCCACCCAGACATCATACGCCGTGCTTTTTTGTCAGCGTGGCTTGCCAGAGGTCTTTACTTTTTGCCCAGGACCCATTTCTCATCCTGGGCTCTTCCTTGACGGACCCCGGGGCCGGTGAGGGCCCTGGGAGGCCGCAAGTGACGACCATTTGTCTGGCCGTGCGTTTTTTATTCGCGACGCGAGAATGAAGGAACGTCTCGACTGTCCTAGCCCAGGCGCGTCTCCCGGAGGCGCACGTGGCCGAGGTATGAGCCCGCGGGCCTGTTTTTGCCAACCAGCCTGTGGTGTTGGGTCGTCGTTTTGAAGAGACAGCGCCCCGCGTCGCACCTCCTGGTCCCCCTCCTCCCTCCTCCCGTCCCTGCCTCTGCCCTCCACATGTTCTCGTCGTTGCCGTCATCGTCATCACCCAGCACTGCGCTTCGTGGCCCCATAGGGAGCTCCAACCCAGTGGCGCAATCCGCATGCGTCTTCCCTACCCAGTGCATCATTTCGTGGCCCGACATGGAGCTCCACCGGAGGGTTCCAGTGGCGCAGTTCGCATGCGCCCACCAAAGGTCCCAGGGGCGCAGTTCGCATGCGTCTCCCCCGCCCAATAAAGCATTTCTTGGTCCCATAGGGAGCTCCACCGAAGGTCCCTGTGGCGCAGTTTGCATGCGTCTCCCCCGCCCATGCAGCTTCTCGTGGTCCCAAAGGGAGCTCCACCGAAGCTCCCAGTGGCGCAGTTGGGATGCGTCTCCCCCACCTAGTACAGCGCTTCGTGGCCCAAGGGGGGGGGTCCACCGAAGGTCCCAGTGGCGCAGTTCGCATGCGCCTCCCTCGTCCAGTACAGCGTTTCGCGGCCCCAGAGGGAGCTCCACCGAAGGTCTTTGTGGCGCAGTTCGCATGCGTCTGCCCCACACAGTCCAGCGTTTCGTGGCACCATACGAAGCTCCACTGGAGGTCCCAGTGGCGCACTTCGCATGCGTCTTCCCCACCCAGTACAGCGCTTCGTGGCCCCAGAGGGAGCTCCACCGAAGGTTCCAGTGGCGCAGTTCGTATCATTTCCCCACCCAGTACAGCGCTCCGTTTCCCCAGAGGGAGCTTCTCCGAAGGTCCCAGTGGCGCAGTTCGCATGAGTCTCCCCCCCTCCCAGTACATCGCTTCGTGGCCCCATACGGAGCTCCACCGAAGCTCCCAGCGGTGCAGTTCGCATGCGTCTGCCCCACACAGCAATGTTTTGTGGTCCCAAAGTAAGGGCCACCGAAGGTCCCAGTTGCGCAGTTCGCATGCGTCTCCCCCGCCCAGCACATTTCTTCGCCGCCCCAGAGGGAGCTCCACCGAAGGTCCCAGTGGCGCATTTCGACTGCGTCTTTCCCAGTCAGTGCAATGGTTCCTGGTCCCATAGGGAGCTCCACCGAAGGTCCCAGTGGTGCAGATCGTATGCGTCTCCCCTACCCAGTACGGCGTTTTGTGGCCCCGTAGGGAGCTCCACCGAAGGTCCCAGGGGCGCAGTTCGCATGCGTCTCCCCCGCGGAGTACGGCGTGTTGTGGCCCCAGTGGGCGCTCCACCGAAGGCCCCCGGGGCGCAGTTCGCATGAGTTTCCCCCGCCCAGCACATCTCTTCGTGGCCCCATAGGAAGCTCCACCGAAGGTCCCAGTGGCGCAGTTCGTATGCGTCTCCCCCACCCCGTGCAATAATTCCTGGCCCCAGAGGGAGCTCCACCGAAGGTCCCAGTGGCGCAGTTCGCATGGGTCCCCCCCGCCCAGGACAACGCTTCATGGCCCCAGAGGGAGCTTCACCGGAGGGTTCCAGTGGCGCAGTTCGTATGCGTCTCCCCCACCCCGTACAGCGCTTCGTGGGCCCCAAGGGGGAGCTCCACCGAAGGTCCCAGAGGCGCAGTTCGCATGCGTCTCCCTCACCCATTACAGCGCTTCGTGGCCCCGTAGGGTACTCCACCAGAGGTCGCAGCGGTGCGGTTCGTATGCATCTCCCCTACCCAGTACGGCGTTTCATGGCCCCATCGGGAGCTCCATCGAAGGTCCCAGTGGCGCAGTTCGCATGCGTCTCCCCCGCCCAGTACAGCGCGTCGCGGCCTCATGGGGGGATCCACCCAAAGCCCAGTGGCAACGCTCGCATGCGTCTCCCCCACCCAGCACAGCGTTTCGTGGCCCAGAGGGAGCTCCACGGAAGACCATACCCACATTCGCGGTACTCGAAGCTGCACATGCTTGGGCTCTTCGCCAGGCTAATTTTTTGCTCGCGGCGCCCAAAGTGAGAGGCCTCTGCGGAGGCTCGGCGACCCGCGCCCCGGCGGGCGCCACGGCGCGGCGATCGCAACTGCGTGACGGTGAGCTCACGGTGCAGTCGCAGTTTTTTTTTTCCACTGGCTGCTGCGGGCCCGCCCGGTCCTGAGAGAGCTGCGCTCCAGGGGTATACTGGCATGGCCCGGCGAGGGGTGGAGGAGGAGGCGGCAAGAGCAGAGGGGGAGGGGCGGAGGGGGAGGGGCAGCGAGGAGAGGGGAGGGGCTGGGGAGAAGCGAAGGGGAGGGAGGAGGGGGGGAGGCCCAGAGCGAGGAGGAGCAAGGAGGGAGGGTGGGGAGGGTGGGAGGGAAGAGGCTCTCTGCTCGCTCCTTCTCTGCACACCTGTGCTTGTCCTTCTCTGCACACCTGTGCTCGTCCTCTTGGCATCTCTCCGCCCGACCCCCTCCCACTGCTCGTCCTACCTGTGTGTCCACCGATGCCCTCCACCACCCGTGCGTGTCATTTGGAATATTACTGCGTTACTATTCTGCGCACGGCCCCGCCGAGCAGCCACAAACGAAGGAGGTGGAGGAGCGATGTTTTTTTCCACGCAAGAAATCATCTCTGCCTCGATCACGGACTCGTCTAGTGTATGCCGTCATCACATGGGAAAATTGCCTAGACGGGGCTGCGCCCGTTTACCTGGATGATGGCAGTGAGCCGATGGTGGCCTGAAGTATTAGACTTACAGCGGGATTTCAACGAGCACCGTTTCACTTGACGCGAATCAGGTGCAGCTGCTGGGCAAGCCTGCCTCAAGAGGGACTGGCGCCGGGCTCGAAGGCAGGGCAAGAGCAAGCAGCGAAGCCGGGAGACCGAAAAAGAGGGTGGGAGGGGGGCAGGGGGGAGGGGGAGGCGGGAACCCGGACGGCGGGGACGTTGGGAGGGCGATGAGCACTTCGCCCGTCCGTTCAGCTATGGACCGGGCTCCCTGCAAGGAGCCCGATTCCCTCTGCAGCAGAGCCTGCGGCTGCCTGGGGGGACCCCGCCGTCTACCAACTCAAGTATCGCATTGTAGATGCCCTCGGCGTCGGCACGTCGGCATTGAATTCACCACGCACACGGCAGACTTCCGCTGCGTCCACGCCAGCCATGGACCGCAGAGGCAAGAGCAGCTCCAACCCTTGCTCGTAGGCTTCCGTGCAGCTCTGCCGACAAGCACCGCCACTCACAATAGAGTTGCCTCGCGACAAGCAGGGACTTCACTCGGAACAGCACACGCCGCCCGGGGTGCCGAAGCACGGAGCGGGCTGCAAGGTAGAACCGAGCATACTCCGCAGAATTGTTTGTGGCGTCTACCAGAAACCTTCCTCATGATACGTTGCGCCGCGTGCCCGCCTGGTCACGCACGCAGCCGCGGGATGACGCGCGACCGCGTGCACCACCCTGCCCTCGCGAGTGCAAGCGGCCCAGCCCTCGCGGATGGTTGGGGACCTGGCCGGACAGCACGCCGTTCAGCTCGCAACGTGTTGTTCGAGTTGCCCATGATCCACGGGTCGTCAGGAAGATGGCGCGCTTGCGTCAGCGAATTTCCCAGGCAACACTGCGCACGTCCCCGCCGAGCAACCACACTCAAAAGAGGTGGGGGAGCGAGGAGGAGGAGGAGGAGGAGGAGGAGGAGGAGGAGGAGGGGGAGGAGAAGGAGGAGGAGGAGGAGGAGGAGGGAGGAGGAGAGGAGGAGGAGGAGGAGAGAGGAGGAGGAGCGGAGGAGAGAGAGTAGGAGGAGGAGGGGGGGGAGAACACAGAAACGGGACACAGGACCAGGACACATGATGGGTGAAGGGGGGAAATCTGATGAGGAAGAGGAGGAAGAGAAGGAGGCGGAGTAGGGGGAGGACGAAAAGAAGGAAGAGGAGGTTGAGGAGGAGGAGGAGGAGGAGGTGGAGGAGGAGGAGGAGGAGGAGGAGGAGGAAGGTAGGAGGAGGAGGAGGAGGGGAGAGGAGGAGGAAAGGGAGGAGGAGGAGGAGGAGAAAGAGCAGGAGACCGAGGAGGATGAGGAAGGAGGAAGAAGGACGGAGGGGAGGAGACGAGGAGGAGGAGGAGAAGAGCAGGAGGAGGAGGAGGAGGAGGAGGAGGAGGGAAGACGGATGAGGAGGAGAAGTAGCAGGATGATGATGAGGAGAGGAGGAGGAGGAGGAGGAGGAGGAGGAGAGTAGGAGGAGGAGGAGACAGAGGAGGAGGAGGTGGAGGAGGAGGAGGAGGAGGAGGAGAAAGAGGAGGAGACCGACAAGGATGAGGAAGGCGGGAAGGAGGAGGAGGGAGGAGGGTGAAGTGTGGAGCGGGAGGAGGATGACGCAGGATGAGGTGGCGATCTATTGCGCGGCCCTCGGCGCGAGCGGCGGCGAGAGGGGCCGCCCGAGCGCGCGCGGGCTGGCGGCGAGGAAGCGCTCGGGAAAAAAGGAAGGGGGGGATGATGGTGGTGCTGATGCTGACGGTGGTGGTGATAGTGGTGATGATGATGCTGATGCTGATGATGATGAGGAGGATGAGGATGATGACAAGGATGATGTTGATGATGATGATGATGATGATGATGATGCTGATGCTGATGCTGATGATGCTGTCAACGATGTTGATGACGATGCTGATGGTGGTGGTGACGGCGATGGCGATGATGATGATGTTGGTGATGCTGATGGTGGTGATGCTGATGCTGATGGTGATGGTGATGCGGATGGTGGCAACGATGGTGATGATGATAATGATGATGCTGATGATGATGGTGGGGAACGTGGTGATGATACTGCTAATGGTGATGCTGCTGGTGGTGATGCTGATGCTGATGATAATGCTGATGCTGATGATGCTGATGATAATCCTGATGCTGCCGCTGATGCGGATGCTGATGCTGGCGCTGATGCCGATGCTGATGTTACTGGTGATGCTACTGATGATGATGCTGATGCTGAGGATGATGCTGCGGATGATGGTGATGGCGATGTTGTCGTCGACGATGCTGATGCTGATAAAGATGATGATGCTGATGATGATGATAATGCTGATGTTGATGCTGATTATGATGCAGATGTTGATGCTGCTTATGTTGATGATAACGAGTTGTGATGATGATGGTGGTGCTGGTGATGGTGACGATTGCGATTATGATGACCGTGATGATGCTGCAGGTGATGATGTTGGCAGTAATGGCGATGCTGATGCTGGTTATGATGGTGGCGACGATGACGATGACGATAACGACGACGACGATGACGATGATGATGATGATCAGCATCATGATGATGGCGATGATTGTTGTTATGATTGTGATGGTTGTGATGGCGATGGTGGTGGTGGTGGTGGTGGTGGTGGTAATGCTAATCATCACGGTGATGAGTTTGATTGTGATTAATTCAGGACGGATCCCAGCCCTGGCGACGAGGACCCCCGCGGAGTTCTGGTCCTCGAAGTTCGATCCTTGAAATTCGGTCCTCGGCCCTCGATCCTTGAAGTTCGATCCTCGGCCCTCCAGGTAAGGCCCTCGATCCTCGGCCGTCGACCCTTTGTTCTCGGTCCTCGAAGCAAGGCCCTCCCCTGAGATCCGACGTCGCGAAGCATCATACGCCGTCGCGAGAAGTCGCGAGCGGAGCCCGAGACCACGTCTTTCAGTGGCACTTTTCGGAGGAGGAGGAGCAGGAGCAGGAGCAGGAGGAGGAGCAGGAGGAGGAGGAGGAGGAGGAGGAGAAGGAGGAAGGAGTAGGAGGGGATGGAGGGGAGGCGGAGGAGGTGAGGAGGGGAGGAGGAGGAGCAGGATGAGGAGGAGGAGGAGGAGGAGGAGGAGGAGGAGGAGGAGGAGGAGGAGGGGAGGAGGAGGATGGGAGGAGGAGGCTGGGGAGGGGGATGGGGGAGGAGGAGGAGGAGGAAGGAGGTGAGGAGGATGAGGAGGAGGAGAGGAGGAGGAGGGAGGAGAGGGAGGAAGGAGGAGGAGGAGGATGAGCAGGAGCAGGAGCAGGGAGCAGGATCAGAGGCAGAGGAAGCAGGAGCAGGAGTCAGGAAGCAGGAGCAGGGCAGGAGCAGGAGCAGGGAGCAGGAGCAGGAGCAGGAGGCAGGAGCAGGAGCCAGGAGCAGGAGCAGGAGCAGGAGCAGCAGCAGCAAGAGCAGCAGCAGCAGCAGCAGCAGCAGCAGCAGCAGCAGTCAGCAGCAGCAGGAGGAGGAGGACACAGTTAGGAGTAGGGCAGGGGCAGCCGGAGATGTATGACGGCGGTGGGATAGATCTGTTGAATGTGCCTTTTGCGTCCGAACAGACCGGGTCGATACTCCCGTTGTCCACGCCTACGGCGTCGCCCCCGGATCTCCGGGCCGTCCCTCGACCTCGCGCCGCCGCGTGCGCGGCGGCGCGCTGCGCGTGGCGCCTCGCGTCTTCCCGTGCAGCCCTCTGCAAGCTGGGCCCGCCGCCGCCGCGCACGCCGCGGCGCGTCCTTGGGGCGCAGCGTGTGTTTCCCTGGAGGGGTCGGCTACGCTTCAAAGTCGGGCCTGTCCCTCTACAGGGGGAATATTCCAAAATAGTTACAAATAGTCTGGGAACTATGTGTGATTTTTTTTTGGGATATGTTTTGACTGTTTTGAATTTTTCGCCCAAAATCCCCCTGTAGGGGGACAGGCCCGACCTACGGCTACACGCAAGAGTGACCCTGGATAGGAGCGACCTTGGGCGCGCGGCTGAAACGGGGGGCGCGGGGAGGGGTTAAGGCTGGGCGCGCAGGCCGCTGCCACCGCCTCGAGGTCGGCGATCGGGGGGCCCCATTGGACCCGCATCGAAACTCGCTCCAGCGACAGGTCACTCTGACGTCCAGTCGAAGGCTGGGCCAGCCGCCGCCGCGTGCGTGGCGGCGGCCCATCCTGCACGGACAGCACCAGGAGCGCGAGAGAGCCGCGCCGCGCCGCGCACGACTTGGCGGCGGGCCCGTGCCCTCGCGGATGGCTCCTCCCAGGGTGTGTGTGTGTGTGTGGCGGCTGCGCACGCTCTCTGGGGTACACTCCCTTCTGCCCACCACCCATCTTGGCACGTCGGTGATGGACACTTCTTCCACTGCGCTGTCGACGAGGCTCGATCGCAATTCGCACTCCCATCTGCTGCCCGCGCCTGAGGGCCCTCTGCGCCGCCGGCTTAAAACGCGTGGCGGCCGCGCCCACGGGCCAGCGCGCCGGGGCGGCCGCCGTGCGCGCCGCGCGCGCACGCCGCGCGGGTGCTCGCGCGCCCGAGGGGCTGCGGGAGCCGGGGGGGGGGGTCCGCGCCAGGGAAGAAGGGGATCGGTTTCTTATCCACTGGTTTGACGATCGGCGCGGGCTCGCGCACCCCTCCCCTCCCCCCCCCCATGGCGTAGATCTTGGCGGTTTTGGTGCGTGTGTTAATTCAGCAGGTGGGGTCTCCCTCGTAGAACGCAGGAGAGAGGGAGGGGGAGGGGAACTGGTTTGTGAAGGACAAGGAGGGGGTATAGCCAGAAGGACAGAGGATGGAGGTGGAAAATGGAAGAGGAAAATGATGACGAATTTGAAGGATTCGGCGCCTGGCCGTGCGTGGTGCGCTATTCTGGCCGGCGGGCCAGACCGTGGGGCTCTTGAGAGCCCCCCGCTGTCTCCTCCCTGTCCTTTTCCGAGCGGTAGGCAATGCCACACAGCCGAGACGCCGACAGAAGGGGCCCGTTTGGGCTCAGGAGGGGCTCTTGTTGTCGCCCCGTTCCCTGGCGCTGGCTCGGGGAGCCCGTTCGTGGCAGAGGCCAGCCGTCGCCAGAAGAGCCTGTTCGTCCCGGTTTCAGGGATCCCTGTGGTAGCACGACGACTGAGCCCATCCAGCGTGTATTCCCTCGGGTCGGCGCTGGGCATCCCTCCCTTCGGCGGCGCCTCCGGCGCGTTGCCGCGCTCCGCGCGCCGGGGATGCAGGGGGGGCCTGCAGCGCCAGCTCGAAAAATCCGCGCGCACAGGCTACGTTTTCCCCCGCTCGACATGTTGCGGTTGTTAGGTCTGACGGATAGGAGAACAATGAGCGGCATTTCTATAGCTCCGTAGCCATTTTGGCTCAAGCCATTTTGGCTCAAGCCGTCTCTGGCTTCCGCAGCAGACAGTATTTCATAGGTTGATATCGTGAACATGGTCAAGGCACACACAGCACTTGATGAGATTGACAGCAAGGGCGATTTCCAGCGATCGGCTGCTGGCTTCAGCAATAGAATAGCACCAGAATCACGCTTCGAGCCTGAGGCCAGCCGGTACCATCTGTACGTGGCGCTCGGTTGCCCATGGGCCAATGGTTGTCTCACAGCACTCAAGTTCAAGGGCCTCGAGGACATCATCAGCGTCTCCGTGGTCCATCCGACTTGGCGCCGCACACGCTGTGACGATCCGGAAGATCTACACACTGGCTGGCACTTCAGAGCTCCCGGTGACGCGCCAGTGACCAACGAGCTCGGCCACGGTTCGTTCGAATGCGATGACGCGTGCATCCCCGACAGCGTCAATGGTTGCAAAACCATCCGCGAGCTGTACGAGCGTGCGAACGATCAGACGGGCAAGTACACCACCCCTGTTCTCTGGTGCAAGAAGGAGGGCACTATCGTCTCCAACGAAAGCATGGAGATCCTGCAGATACTTGACAGTGCCTTCGATGAGTGGTGCAAGCACCCCGAGCGCAAGCTGTTCAACAAAGCTGAGGCGGCGGCGGCGGAGGAGCTTAACTCTTATATCTACCCGACTGTCAACAACGGCGTCTATCGTTGCGGCTTCGCACGCACTCAAGAGGCCTATGTCCGGGCTCACGCGGAGTTGTTTGCATCCCTCGATCGCCTCGAGGCGCTATTGGCCAAAAGTGGGACGGCTTTCTTGACAGGGTCCGAATTCCGGTGGATCGACCTGCGCTTGTACATGACTCTTGTGCGTTTTGACCCGGTGTATGTCGTCTATTTCAAGACGAGCCACAAGCGGCTCGCCGACTTCCCGCACCTGCTGCGTTTTGTGCGCA